TTTCCTTTCTCCCAATCCACCTCTTCTTATAACCAAAAAATATAGGTTGGATCCTTCGTTTCTCCATTTTCTATTGCGAGTCTCGACTTAAGATGATGCAACTATTATTTTTTTGGTCATATTTTAATTGAATTTTAATTTTAATCTTGTTTAATGTCAACTACGATCTTTAATAAGTTAATTTCTTTTTTTTTTAAATTTCGAGTGTTCATACGTGTGGCTAGAGAGTGGTCACGTGTGTTTTCACTTTCACTATTAAGAAAATCAGCTAGGATAATTAACTCTTAAAGTAAAAAAATGAGTTGCCAAAATAAACTACAAGGTCTACTGTTACAAAATGTAATGAAATGTAAACATGGATTCACATGGAATTTCTTTCATTAGGAGAGTACAATTTATAGGTTGTATGAGTTACAAGCACAAGATTATTGATGATTTAATGGGTTTGCAGTTGAGTAATTCCCTTCTTGACGAGGATATAATAAACCTGTTACATGAAGCATAAGCATGGTTTCACATGGAATTTCTATCGTTTAGTGGAAGTAAAATGACATATAAAAGAGAGATCAAATTACAGTATAACTGAGTTATAAACACAAGGTCATTGATGATTTAATGGGTTTAGGGTTGAAAGATCTCCTTTTTGACGAGGATATCATAAACCCAATCTATTATAGATGACATCACCTTGAACAAACAATGAGCATCAAACTTCTTTGTGATGTTGCCCCCTGAAGATCTCTTTTGAGATGACCTGCTACATCCTAAGATAGAGAGGTAGATGCAACCTATAGGCATTTCTCTTGCCCAAGATAGTTACAAGTAGGAATAAGATCAACCATTCATTTATCTTTTATAAAAGATAAATGAGAGAAACTAGGGACTACATATAGTTTTATATAGTAGTTGTGTTTCAGAAAAGTCTAGTATGTCCAAATCATTAAGATAGGTTGAAGAACTTTATCTTGAATGCTTGCAATTTGCATTATTGTCTGCCGACTCTGATGCCATGAATGCATTTAGACCTCTCTGAATGCTTGTACCAACCTGGGTACTTCATTTGCCTTTCGGGAGATTTCTTCAGACTCTCTTTTCCTCCTCTGTTCAAGATATTTGTCAACTTCAGCTGATGTATGACAGCGAGCAGCTCAAGCCTCCTGTAAAAGTTTACCATAAATGCATGAAGGGAAGAAAATAAATGAAGTATTCCCTAAAAATAATGTCTTTTCTGACATTAGAATTATAGGATTTTTTATCATAAACAACAACATATTAAAGATTTAGATCTAAATCTAGAATTACATATTCAAATCTAAAACTGAAAAATAATTAACATGCTCATTTGAATCATAGAGACTAGATCTATAAATGAAAACGTACCTGCAAAGTGGAAGAAATTTGCACGTTTTGCAATAAATTTTTCAAATCAATACATTGGTGCTTTAAAGTTTTTATGCACTTTCTTTTTTAATGATAGGATGACAGAATATAAAAACCTTAACATGTGATTTTAGGACTGTATCTACCTATTTATATCATTAAAATTTCGTTATTTCTAATTTTACTAATCACAATACATGAAGGAAAGAAAATAAATGAAGTATTCCCTAAAAATAATGTCTTTTCTGACATTAGAATTATATGATTTTTTATCATAAACAATAACATATTCAAGATTTAGATCTAAATCTAGAATTACATATTCAAATCTAAAATTGAAAAATAAAATAACATGCTCATTTGAATCATAGAGACTAGATCTATAAATGGAAACGTACCTACGAAGTGGAAGACATTTGCGGGTTGTGCAATAAATTTTTCAAATCAATACATTGATATTTTAAAGTTTTTATGCACTCTCTTTTTTGATGATAGGATGACAGAATATAAAAACCTTAACATGTGATTTTGGGATTGTATCTGCCTATTTATATCCTTAAAATTTCGTTATTTCTAATTTTACTAATCACAAAATCAAAATGGAAACGTACCTGCGAAGTGGAAGAAAGTTGCGCGTTCTGTAATAAATTTTCCAAATCA